CTCTAGCCTACTATCTGTGCTATAGAGTTAAAGTACTCTGCTTTAGCATTAAAAAACAATCCTTCTGTGTTCCAGACAGAGAGCAATTTGAGTTTAATATCATTTGCTCCATTTGAATTTTTAAAACAGGCTTTCAAAGGGAAAAATATGAACCAAGTGACCCAAACTGATTTACAATATTAGTCAGTAATTCAGATGCACTGATAGACATCCAGTAAGAACCACTTGATTTCAATCTTTATAGTCTTCTGGGATGCAGTTAATCACACACCAGGAAGACACTGGAACTTTTAATCACTGTTTCCTCCTCAAACATCTGTGTTAAAACCTGTACACAATAGAAATGTTTAGTAAGCAAAGGCTAACAACATCATGTGAGATGGAGACTTTTCCTGTCTCCAGGATAAAACATACGAAAAAGTATTGAAATTAAAGCCGAGTTCATCTGCAGTTACAAAAGGAAAGTTTGCMATGGAACAAACGTGGACAAGAGGTAATCAACACAGGGTGGGGAAGGAGAGGAACAGACCTACACCAGAAACTGCTCAGGACGGCTGAGCTCAAGAGCTTTCAGGCAAAGGAGGTTCTGTAACGAGTCATTCTTAAATACTCATACACATGCTTGTACCTATCCCACATTGGGTCAGATGCACCACATGAAACAGTTAACAACAGCTCAATGAGTATTCTACCCCACAAGTCACCTGACAACTCAGCTTGAACACAGAATCAGCAAATACAGTGCAAAAAAAAAAAAAAAAAAAAGAGTCCCCCATGATAAATGCAATAAACATCATAACTACAAGACAGACAAAACATGAGAAGTCCTCAGAGCTTAGAATGGTCTCTTTTGTGTTACTTTTTGCAGATGGGTCATTAGGATTATAGTATATCAAAGCAAACACAGAGTCTGCTCACAGCTCTCAACTTGCATCTCAGCAAATTTTCAGAAGTGGCAAAGAGAAGCAGAAACCCCAGTATGCCACTCTCCTGCTCTCACACAGACACCAGGGTAGACTATGAGTCTTTGCAAATGTTTATATTGCAGATCACTTTTTTATTAAGACAAGAGCTTCTTGACCATTGCTGTGAATATAGCAGTGACCACCTTGACCTGCAATCCTCTGTGAAACAATGCAATTCCTTTAAGGCAAAAAAAGGCTGATAAATTATTTATGAGAATATAGTTACCAGAATGTCATTACTTTTCAAAAAAGGAAGAACAATYCTGACTTCCAGAAGTGGTTCAATCTCTGCAACTCCATTAGGTCTTGCCATCTAATGCTATGAGTTCTGCTTAGCAGCACATCACAGTTTAAGAAAGTGGATATCATTTATCCTTTAAGAACATAGTTACACAAGCAACTTGAGAGACAGCAGAGTTCAGTAAGGCAATGCAAAGTTTAACTGAATTGAAGGAAATAATCTGTTTAATATCGAAGCTATTTCCAGGGCCTTTTCATAACTTGCAGGTGCTAAAATATACTAGTGTTTTTCAGCAAAGTTCTGGAGACTTTTGGAAAGAAAAAGCWGTGCAGAGAGCACAGAACTGCTAGGACACTCCAACCTTATCTGGTATATGTTTAATTTTGAATAATTTCACCTTGGCTTKGAATGGTATGCTTTGATTTCATTTTGCCTCATAAACATTCTGATAATGGAGTCCTTGAATAAAACCAAGCAACTTTTATAGCCATGAAGMAGACTGCTTAAAACTTGCATCTCTTCTGCTAATGTCAGGGACCTCATTTAGCCACACTTACATGACCTATCAGTAACAGCCTTTCCCTGGAGAGGAAAATTTGCCCTAGTCTTTGCCCTTCTTGTCCTTTCTTTTATACATGGGACACTATCTCTGCCCTCCTTCCTGTCTTTTACTGCATGAAGCAGGCTGTTCAGCTACTGCAAATGTTTGGTGCACATAAGAACGCCAAGCTTCAATCAGAGGGAAATGGAGCATGAACAACTCAGCTGTCAGGGCAGAGGTGTGAAAAAGCATGTTTCCTTTTGTTTGTAAACACCTAATATTTTGCATTTATGGGAACTGCACAGTGTAAGTAATATATGTGTTAGCATGCTTAGGTTACCATGCTAACCCAGATTGTCATAATAAGACAGCAGTGTCTGCTCAGAACAGGAAATGAAAATATTACATTTGTCTTCAGCGGGAATAAAATAAATAAAGGACAAGTTCCCAGACAGCAATTAACATATGCATAGTTATTGCAACAAAGTACCTGGTTCAATTTGTGCAATTGAGAACCTTGGTACTGATGTGTAGATCACACGCTGGTATTCCTCTGGTAAAAGGCAAGAATGAACAGAAATAATTATTCAGAGATCAGGGTGATAGGTAGGGTATGTGGATTCTAGATTCTGCTGCATCGTAAAGCTTAGGAGTGGCTCCAAATTTTTCCACCTGAGATAGGGATGTTTGCAATTTCTATGTTTTAAAGACCACTGAAAGGCTGCAYTTGCTTTTATTTGCAAAGATTCAGAGAATCTCAAGCAGACAATGAATCTCAAGAATAGTGGTGCTAAAGGAGAGGAACCCTGGGAATTCCAAAGTATCTAAGTCTTCACCAACCAGTCTTCTGGGCTCCTGCAGCTTGCTTTATGGTTGGTAGCAAACACTACAGTTGTTAGCATAAGGTTATGCTTCTCTACAAAAGCACTGCTATTTTCAGATTACTCCTATGCTCGAGTTTTTCKGAGGTGCAAAAGTGGTCAATCTTCATGTAAAAGCAGCTGTCACAACAATTTACTGGCTGAAGGCAGCTGCGACAGATGGAAATAACCACACTCCTCAGACCATGGATAGCATTTATCTAACGAGATATTCTKGCTCCAGAGTTTAAGATTAACCCACAGTCCTTCCTGCAGTGCTCAATTCATCTGTGGCATAGGGTCCTGGGAGRTAAAACTCTACAGGATTCAAGCAGAAGCTCGATGAGTATTTGGAAGACAAATCCATAGAAAGTTTTTATAGACAGAGAAGAAAAGCTCCTGCTCATTAAACTCTTGAGCTAAAATAGCTTGAAGTCCTGAAGTTTGAATGAAATGAAATGAAATGAACATATATTTGCTTCATATCTACCCTTTCCTCAGTGCCTGTTCATGAAAGTTACTTGACTGTCTGGATGGCCCATCTGACCTGTGATGGCTGCACTAAATTTACTACAATRAAGAGTTCACATATACCTGCCCTACTCAAGTTTGTGGTCTCTCAAGTTCCAAACTTCATTACCAAGCCCAGTGCTCACTGTATTGATCTGTGATGGACCATGTGGAATCCAAAAGACAAATCTACTCCACAAAGCAGGCATGATCACAGACAGAACAAAAAGTGTAACACTTCTGAGTCTGACAAAGATCTTTGAGAAATGCAAGAACAGGYCTGCACATAGAAGTTGCTCCTCTAAGTGAATTAAATTTGCTAGCATTAACAATCAGAAAGTTCTTTTKGATACAAAGAAAGCATACAGGTGTTCAGAAACAACTGCTGGACTCTAATCACACTCTTCCCTCAGTCTGCTTTCAGTGTTGAAGAGTACAATTTCCTGGCTGAGGCAACAGCTCCAAGAGACACTGACAATAGTGATACCATTTACAAGACCCCTTAGAAGCACAACTGAAGCTGTGTAAAAACAGGATAGCTAAAGATTTATCCCTGAAGGTTTGGAGTTTCATGGAATCACCATATAAGACTCATAGTGAAAGACATGGCAAGAAAGCACAAAACAAGTAGCATTTTTGTTGAATAAGAAGCCAGTAAGGCAAAAGGACCCAAATTTTCTTCCATGAGTATGAGCAAGAAACATGAAAATGCACTGCACGTGAATGAATTTTATAAAGGTTAGTTCAAAGGCAGCTGTRGAAGGAGAGGAAAGGAAGGCACGCAGGAGAGAAAAGGTACACCCCATCAAAACCAGCAAAGATAAGAACAGTTGAGTGAATGAAGCAACCAACCTAGCATGGTACATTTGCAAACATRTTTCATTGGTCTAGCAACAAATTAGCAGAGGGGGAACCTCAAGTGGTTGTTTTATTATCTATATCTCTGATGAATTTATTAAAGAAAACCCATAGTGTACTTTGAAGCTTTCAAATACTAAAACAGAAACACATGCAAAGTATTTTGCTTGTGTTTTCTGTCTTACTAATTTCCCTTTTCAACTTCCTAAAGAGACCTAAAATTTATATAATCTTAGACTTCTAAGATCTCAGGAAAATAAGGTTGAAGTAATCTATTTCAAACAAGTGTAAGAAGTACCACCAAACAATACTGTTGAGTTTAAGTATTTCTAACTGGATTTTACTGCTGCTAAGATACATCAGCCCAACAGTACCTAAAGTGCTCAATGGGCTGACCTGGGTTACACAGAACAGTCTTGTTTTGTTCCAGTATCATTAAGAGATGTAAAAGCTACAGCACAATTCAGATATAGGCAAATTCTTCCTTCATTTGTCTTTGTTCTACATAACAGAAGATTTCTAGGAACCCAGGACTGGGTGCAGGAGATGGGCACAAAGTTGAATGAATGTGYAATAAACAGAAGACATCTATAGAGACACCAAAGAGCAATTTGGGTTTCATTTTCTCCAAATGCTCCCAAAAACTTGTCAAAAAGCTGCTGACAGGGTACGTGCAGCATGAAATAATGACAGAAGTTCCCCCCCAATTTCAGAACCCCAAAGGGACATCCACYATTCTGTAGTACTATAGAAAAGAAGACAGCAGTAACTGTCTGTGCRTCCTATAGAAAATGGATATAAGGGCTTTGCTAGTCCTAGGGGCCAGTAGAAATGTCCCTATGGACCCATKCAATCTTTGTATTGTTTTGTACAACCCAGGCAAAAACAAGACAGCTTTCAAATACTTTCCAGTGTGATTTGGGACTACTTTTGTGTCATTGCAGATGTTTTCCTTTGAGGGCTTTTCCTATGATGTCACCACAGACCCATCAGACCTGCATGCCCACCTCAACCTCTGACAAGATGGAAACTKCCTGTTGGGTGATCCATGAATGTCCCAACTATACAGGCCATCAGTACTTCCTGAAGGGATAATCTATCCTGACTGCCAGCACTGGATGGGTTTCAATGACTCCATCACAGCAGTAAGTTTTCTATATGTCTCCATGTATGTTACTGCTTACATTAGAATCAGAGCAGCACATCCCATTTTGACAGTTCTGGCCTACGGACGCAACTTCCCCAGACACCTCCACGTAGGAGAGGAGTAGTTTTACTACTCACCAAGTTCCCGTAATGAGGTTTGTTGTCTCAAAGAGGTAGGTAAGTCAATTTCAATTCTCCCCCAAATAAATGGTTGATTAGTACTCAGGTGTGGGAGGGGAAGAGTTAATGTTATTGACTTTTATTTTAATAATATGTCTATTTATATATATATATATATATAAGCACCTTGCCAGTCTTCTAAAACCACTCTGGCTCTACATGCTGTACTAAACACTACAAGGATGTTTAGTATAGAGCTGAAAACAACCACGTCTCCCATGCCCCAGTCATTGCTCTTATGTCATAAGAGTCATAAAGYTAATGACTACACTACTGCAGAGACAACCTGACATATCCCACTGTCGACACCACCGTGCATTTGAGCCAAACATTAAGGCAAATTTGCTTCATGATAGATTTTTTCTGAGTACTTCAGCCCAGAAYAGATCTGCATTTTTCCTTTCCAGACTCATTCCCTGGAACGGTTTTACTCAGAGGGGAGAGGTTGCCAAGATGTGGAATATCTCAATACTCACACATAAGACTAAGGATTTGAAWTTTGGCCTGGGAATAGCCTCAGTGCTGGAATGTGTCCCTTTAATATTCATAAAAAAATAAGTTCATTCATGTTGCAAGTTTTATGCACAATTCRTAACTTCCCTGTCCAGCAGAAGCTACATAGACCACCACAGCAGGTTTCCAGATACATTCCATCTGCATAGGATAATGCAGCTATTTTTTTCACTGATATGCAATTCTGGGCTTCACTTAGCAAAGACAGGTTCTGGGTCCAAGTGCTAAAAGCTGGTGCACTCTTGTTCCTTACAAGCAGTAGAGGGACAGAAGTCACAGGTAAGAAAGCTGGGAACAAGATGGATTAAAAGGAACTTGACTTAGGAGATCAATGAGAAGCATTAAGAAGGAGCAAAGAAACTGAGAATTAGTATGGGAGTAGGGAAAAAAAAACCCTAAAATTAGGAAGGAACTAAAGTGTTGTTGGGTTTGGTTGTGGTTTGGTTTTTATTTTAAACTAACATGTTGGACTTTGCAATAATACTCTGGTGTCTATACAACTGCACTTGAGCACCTGCAAAAACTGTATTGCACATTGATGCAAACTAGCAAGTATTTTTCTATAGCAAATCTTTGCTGTGATAGGCACAAAAGTCAAAGACAGTATTGAAACAGTTTATCATCATAGTAACTGAAAAGCAAAAAAACCCCACACCTGCCCACTGAAGACTGCAAAAAAATCCAGTTATTACATCAACATCTGAGAAGACTGAGGACACGTGACTGCTGTGGAAGTCCAGGTATAYAACTGAGTTTATTTTTTACCAGCATGCAATGTTGCTAGCTGGCCTAGCAAACACAGTTCTGTTCTCTTCCAGAACAAAAAGGACTCACAGCACTACTGCTATAAAAATTAAGATCCAGCTGAATTTATTCCTGCTAAACTGACCTTTCTGCTCATAGTACTGGCTATTCACTCTCCTCTTGCTTGCATCAGTATTGCATAGGTACCTAGAACTGTAGGTACTGTAGAAGTAACTAGAAAAAATCTGTAGGTACCTAGAATTGCCACTTAACATACTGTTTATTCATATTTGGATTTGCCTTTGCACTCCGAGAAGCACAGCAGCTACAGCAGTCTGAGGAATGACTTCAGAGGCAGCATGTTGAAGTTCATGGAAAACTCCCCATCTTTCCAAGAGGGGTTTCACTTCAGGGACATCCAGTCTTGTAACATACTTGAAGAAAGCTGTGTTTTTTATGAACAGCCACACTTCCAAGGACAGCAGTACCTCCYGAGGCCTGACAAGTACAGGTGATTCACCAAATGGGATGCCATRAGTGCCAAAGTTGGATCCTTCCAACCAACAAGGGTTATTTTCTAACCAAGCACTTTCCTAACCCGTATGTTTGAAAATAGAATCTTTGTAAAAAAAAAAAACCTGACAACTCTTTCAGATCTTAGAGAAAAATGTCCTTCATTTATGATAATGAAAATCCCAAACTCCCCCTGTAATTGAGTCCATGGACTAACTCCATGCTCAACTTGATTACAGGATGTACCTTCTGTCTTGAATTACCCCATAAAGCAATGGCTTTCACAGAAGTATTTCTTCTGTGAGTACACTGGCAGCAGTGACAGTTGACAGCAAASAGTATCATAATGGGAATATGCATACCAAGCCTCCAGCTGTGACATTAGATGACAAAATACAGAGCAAAGCATTTATCATATTTACCAAGTGTATTATAAAAATTATTTCTAATAAAGACTATTTGTAATGCTACAAATACCAAAATAAATCTTTCAGCTGCTTATTCACTTCATGATTAAAAGAAATCCAACGAACAGTCCTGGTGCCAATAGGTCCTGCTACCATTTAGCATTAAGTCTAGATTTCTGCACAGGATTAAATCAYTCTTACTTCCAGCTCAAGGCCTACTCTATGCCCTTTTGTTTAGMCAGGACCTCACACCATTTGGAGGCATGAACTCATGCTGACCCTCCACAGCACCAAAGTAGCAGCTTTCCCAGGGCCTAGGGTTAGGAACCAGAAGAGAGACCCATTATGTTAAAGATTCTATGAGTTCACTGTTCAAATGGGCCCCCACAAGTCTCTCACATGTTYTAACAGCACACTGTTTACACTACACTGCAGAATCTTTAAAAGTGCATTTCAAGGTTTACAACAGTAGCCATCATTCAGGTCTCTATACCCTTYCTGTGTTCAGGAATTAAGCTAGCCAAGTCCCTGGGGTATTCACAAGGGCACACCTTTGGTTTCACATCCTGCTCAGAAGGAGGCAGTGTGTTGCAGACAACGTCTAACCCTTGGGAGGCTAKTGTATCAATATTTTCCAATAATCCCACCTCTAGCAGCAGTCAGAGCTTTCCTAAGCCTATTTTCCCTCAGTTACTTTCCTTTATTTASCTGCTTCTCCAAACCAAGAGAATTTGGACTCCAAGTTGCTATACCAGGCATTCTCAAGACAACCTTACCCTATTGAGYTAAGAGGGAATTAAGTTCAGACACAACAACAGAGACTACTAACCCCAGCACATCCTTTAATAGTGGTTGCTGCTCTGTTGGGATTCTCCTGACACACTGATTGCTTTCAGGAATCATGCTKCAGATCCATACTGCTGAGCACTGCAACATAATAAAATAATTCATTAAATACTCTCTTAATTAAATCAGAATGATTTGAAGTGCAAGTATGGTAGCTTCACCGATTATTGGCAGTAAGACTGCACAGTAAAGGATGGCTTACATTGAGTGAGAAGTCAGCCTGATGAAGGAAGAACACTTTTTTTGATGCAGTCTTGTCATCTTGGGTTGATTTTATGATAACACTCTCTTCATATATCCTGTCTGTTTGCATGCCCAAAGTGTCCTTSAGCCTTTAAATCTGACCTGGAAGAAGGGGCAGGGGTGGCTGGGAAGGCAGCGTGGGCAGTTAAAAGCCGGAGCTGCCACGCAGMCAGTTGTTGTTGTTGGGAGCTCCGCTGGATGCCGGGCAAACTCATCTCGCTGTGTGCAGGGCAGTTACATTGTTGCTGCTTTGCTAGCTCGGGTTTGTTAGCTTGGGCAAACTGCTCTCCCTGGACTGCCATCCCTTCTACAACTCCTGTGATTTTCTTTCTGGAGCAATTCAGTGGGGCTTCAGTCCCAGAGAAGCAAGCGCCAACCAGCCAGGGGCCAGCGGGGACAAGCTGTGGGCGCCGCTTCTCTCGTCCCGGAYTTCGGAGGAGACAAGCCAGGGACAGAAAAGCACACCAAGCCCTCTGTTTCATCCACAGTGAGGAGAGGACTACTACCAGGTTTTCCACTGTTGCTCGAACAGCCACGTGGTCTTTTTCTTTTGTTTCTTTTTTTTTTTCCAGAGACAGGAGCCACATCATCTTTTCTCTGCACCACGTGTCAAGAAGGGCTGTGGGGGGCGGGGGGTGATGTGTGTTCCTGAGTTTTAAATATCTAACAGTTACTCAGTTTCTTTAATCTGTGTCSTGTGGGCACCTTGTTTTGTTAATAAACTATTTTTCTCTTCACATTTGCTCAAACTGCTTTTTCATATTGGTGGGAAAAGATTATCAAACTTTTCACCTCAGAGRAAACATTTATCCTGTAATGTTTCTCTCTGAAAACATTGTCTCAAACTSAGATACTTGTGTARTGACAACTGGTGGCTTCAAGCATCTGCAAAAGACAGCTGTAGCACAAATCTACATGTTAGCTTTTGAATAGCTAATCTAAATGACAGCAGAGGAGAGAGGTAGTTCTAAGRTTCAATTCTCATCCGTGAATTTTTGCTGTCTATTAAAGAACCTAGGCAGATCAAAAAATAGAAACACATAATCTTTGTTTACTCTGAAAAGGTTTTTAAGAGGTACCCTATGCAAGAGCATTCCTAACACAGCTGCAGACCTAAGGCTTGTGATAAGGGAGCCTGTGCTACCAAAAAGGGAGCAGAAAAGTTCAAGGCACCGCCTGTGCCTTCTACAACAGGGACTCATTATAGTAAAATCACCTTGTGGAAACAAGCCAAAAGGACAGGCAAGGATAARAACACTCGCCAGGATCCCAGGCTACCCTGGGGTAAATTCCTTCATGAATTTACGTCTGGTGAATGGCTTAACCCCACATATCTGAAAGCAAGGTAGGCAGGGGAACTTAATGCTATTAGCCAGACCATGACCYCCCAGCTTTAGCTGTGGCCAGTCTCCAACTCTTTCAAAGAAAGTAACTGAAATCCCCAGATACCAGCTTATATGTCAAGAGGAAAACAAAGTCCTTCCCATTTCCAGACTTTACCAACAACTAACAAGATCTGAATTACCTGGAGTACAAAGTAAATATATTAACAGAATGAAAATTAAACCCTAAGTTGGCTGACTTACCTAACAGAATAATTGCACAGATGACAAAAAACCATCACAGAAGCTTTGGCATCTTAAAAGGACCAACTTGTCCCTTTTCAGTAGCCACACCACATCCAATCTCAAGTTAAGTGGGCTTGAATGTCTAGAAATTAGCATCCAACAAGTCTTATTTCTTCATATTCAGCAAAAGTTATTTTGATAATGGAAGATTTACACACAGCCATAAGGCCATATGTTTGCTTACACTATAAAGTTTACCCCTTGCATCAGTGCAAGAGCCTGTTTGAAAAAAAAAGATTGAAGAATTGAGGGGCAGGTTAATTTCTAAGCTATTTTCTAAGTCTATTTCTATTCTAAGTCTTCATTGTTCATAAAAAAAAAACAAAAAAAAAAACCAAAAAAAACATTAGTTTTCAGACATCAAGAAATTTCAGCTAAAGGCTTTGCCATAGACTCAGCTTAGTGTGATTACTATTGGTCTGGACCTTGGTCTCAGTAGAAGCATTAGGGCCAAACAAAAGGGCTGAGAATATATAAAAGTCAATTACAGCTTTTTGCCTATTTAATTTCTTTCCACAGGAAATAAGCATAATTTAGCAAAAGCAGTACTTTAAGGCATGTGTCTTTTCCTGCAATTTCAAAGGCTCCTGGASTCAAAGTTGCAATCCAGTGTAGTTAATTTCTTTGTTAAATCTTTCCTTAACCCAAAATTAATGCTTTCTCCTTATCCCCACCCTTCTCTCTACCCATTCTGCTACCTGGACTTGCTGACAGACAAGTTCACTCTGTAGTAAAATGACTGAGTTACCAATATACAACTACTGATGAGAGACATTAAAACCCACAAGTAATAAATAAAGTATGAGAAATAACCACTGTTGCAAACAGTCACCACAAGACAGCAGCTAAGGGACAATGAAATGCTTATGARCACTGCCTACCTGACTGTTTAAGGTTGGTGAAACAATTGATATATAATTATGGAAGAGAAGGCAATGAAAAGTCTAACAATTAGCTTTTGCAGCTGAACCGTTCCCCAAACACTCACATTTTTAAGCACTCATACATAGCCAGTAAGTCTCCTTTTTACAGCATCTTCCATTCTTTGATTTCCATATCCTTTGCTGAGTCTTCATGTAAATAAGTACGCTGAAATATAAATTCACCTAGAATTGTACTACATCTGCAGAGACAAAGCTGTAACCCCCCCTTTTTCCACTGACCTCTCTCATCATTGCTCATACATCTGTGTAAGAAAAAACTCATAGCAAATACTAAATATCTGTCTGTACAGGGAGAAACTAAATTTGACAAACACCCAGTGATGCAGACACCCAAAAGCCACCTCAATGACCTTACAAGGAGCTACCTGGCTTAGGAAAACCTCTAGAAGGTCAAACCAGGAGACCACTCACCCTGAATGACATGGAAACAGATCGTTCTGTTGTAAACCACAAATKCTTTACTTTCCATCTAGAGCACCTATATAAGGCAAGAACTGCCTACACAAGCAGCACTGATTGCCTAGGCCCACTAAAATAACTACATTGCTTCAACTCCAGCAGAGTGGAAAATGGCTGCTTTACAGTCTGGGASCATCCTAATTACGGAGGTGGCAGCACTTAGCAAGGGAGGAGTCTCCTATTTCTATCAGAGGATGGCTTTTTTTTGCTTCATTGAAGCCTGTTGCAGGACTGGTGTGTGTAGGAGCAGCTGCTGTATCTTACAAGAGTCAGTAATGCAAAAACACAGAGTAATATTTGAAGGGAGGATTAGAATTTTCACATGGCTTTGCTTGGGCCTGACKGCTTTGAAGGAGCAAGTTGTAAGAGAAGTTTGAAATGGGCTGTTGTGGTAAGCCATTATAAGGCCTAGGCCTGGTAAGGGCAGAGAAGGTCCGTGAAGGCTCTGGAACATTCGGTGCCATTGGCCACCGTTGGCCGACAGCCGGCAGGTGCTGTGACAGTTCCAGTCGGGTCTGTCTCGAGTGCCCGCGAGRCCGTG